TCAATCAAGAAGAGAGGATACCAAAATGTGGATGTGGATAAAATAATAATTCCAAAAAATGTATATGTAAAAAATACAGATGTATATATATGTTTTATATTTTATTTCGTATTTTAAAGTAATAATTATTCTTTATTACTGCGATAAATAATAATAAAACACATTTATTTATCAATCCAATTATTAAAGAAAATAAAGTGTTGGCTATTAAAACGAAAAGCCACGTTATTATTTCTTTTGTTGTTAAAAAATGACACAAATTATTATTTTTTTTATTACCTACTATCAATGGTCATAATCATAATAAAAAAATCTAAAGTAGGTACATAATATAATGTTTTACGATCAGTAACAGGTTAAATGCGTACTTGTTTTAGGTAGGTATATTGATATTTTGATGGTGAATCATTTAGTATTAAAAAACAAAACAAGCGAAAGCCCGGAAATATGTACGTGATTCACCTGCAGTTACAAACTATTTCCGGAAATTTAAGAGTAGACATACTCACTACTGTGTTTATAAAGGTAAACTATTTTAATTACATACACGAAAATCCAACCAAAATGAAGCTACCATAGTTTTAAAAAATGCTTATTTAATTTTCAATAATTATTACGACACAATATAAACCCAATTGATATGTACAAATATTACAGAAAAGTAGAAAAATATTTCTGTTCTTACGACAATGGGTCTAAATCAAATATTATTTCCACAGCGTATATCTACAATCAATTATTTTTTAAAGATAACTCAGAAATATCAATGCAAACAAAAATCCAATTAAACTCAAAATAAATATGTACAATGAGCGTACATTGTACATGTAAAACAATCAATTTTATTTTTAATAGACAAACTCAATATCCGCAATTATGTACTTATAAGCTAAATAGGTATGTAGGTACATACATATATATTATTTCTATTTTACAAAAAGTTGTATTTATAAAGGAGTAAGTACAGACTTAATGTCCAGCTAACAAGAGGCTAACTGTACAATGTGCAGTTTCTATACTTATTTAAATTACCTATTTACTCATCGTGCTTAAGCTTATGGTTACCATTACTGGTATAATAGGTAAAGTAATTCCGTTTCTGAAATAAGACAACTAATGATAAGTATTCCTTTCACATTTAAATTATTCTTTTATATTATAAGCTCGCATAGCATTAAATTTGTTCTGTTGTATATTTAAATAAACGCCATTATACATAGGCAACTGAAGGAATGCCAAGATTTATTCGCACATAATAAAAATACCTTTTTAATAGAGTTGTGCGTTGTAATAATACGTAATCGTCGGCAATTAGCAAAATTACTGAATAATTAACCTACGAGAAAATACGACATTAAAAATAATCGAATTCTTCTTTCGGTTTCAGTCGTATTAAGTCAAACATTTACTTACAATTCGATACTTGTACCAAATCGCATAATTTAATCGTTTTAGTACAGCAGCAAGAAAAAATATAAAAGGCATTCTTTTATGTGACCAAAATTTGAAAACATGTAATAAGAAAATAATCACGATTAGAACGTTCAATGTAACCACTTAAAATGACGTAAGTACCAATTCGCCATAGAAGATCCAAAAGAACCATGAAGAGACGATTTTGTAATCAACAATGAATATTACTTCCTCAAATGTTTTAAGACACGTATAGATTAACAGATATTGTAATATAATTATTTTTATTGTAAGATGACTAAACTGAGATATCGAAAGGGTTGAGTTGGGGTATCATACTATGAAGGATCCCTGCTCAGGTACATTTTATATTACCATATTACCACATTCTAGTTTTTGATTTATTATCAAAATAATAAAGAATGAGCAAAAATAAAATTGCAGGCAGGTACTTTTAGTAATTTCAATTTTTCATTTAAAAAGCGAGTTATTTTTTTTTGTTGTAAATTATAAAAATAGCCTATCCTAACCTAACCTGCCTTCTCTGTAATATTTCACAAAAAAAAACAGAATCACAAAACACCTGCATTTGCAGCCCAGACACTCAAAATACTGACCCAAAATATCCAATCATTTTTACAAAGTTATAAAATTACTAAACTAAATTTTTTTTTGACAACGCAAAAATTACAATTTTCGATTGTAAATAATTGAATTTACTGTAGAAATGGTACAGTTTATTAGGTAATTTGTAATAATCTCAATTTTGACATGCTCTTTTAAAAATTATTTCAAGTTTCTTAATTATTACAATTAAATTTGTAATATCAACTAAAGTACCTAGTAAATCTATTTCTCTGCTAGGATTTTATTTTCACAAATTCAGGTCCAAATTGTAATTTTTATTATTTTCGCTTTTTTTCTGTAAATTTTCCTCTTTCATTTTCTCCGTGTAATCTTGGTCCTTAGAACACCCTGTCAAATGTATTATGTAGGTTACCACACTTCATAGGTTTGATGATGTCAGTGTAACCCCGGCTGGAGCACTTTAAATTATTAAGATACAGCGTCGTACAATTGTTTTCCAGGTGAGTAACTAACCGTTGTACGATATGCAGTACGGAGTCACTAAATTATACACATATCGTTGCTGTAAGTATAAGCCATATCTTAAAGGTACTTTAAGAAATGGATACCTAAGATGAATGCACTTTTAATTACATGAATTCGTAGTGTGCTGGTCGATGCGTAGGTAAATGGTACGAGAAGCTGGGTGAGAAATGCCATCAACGAGAAAATAGATCTCCAGATGTGGTACCGTTATAACAGGTGAAAAAGCACACGCTACAAACATGCATAGATCTTTCCACATAATTAGTATCTTTGTGAAAAAAAATTCTCACAGATATGCTTCAACTATTCTCACTCAGCTTATTATTACTACGGATCAATTTCCACGTGTTTTTCTCAACCTCATTTAATGTCAGCAAACGAACAAGTACTACATACAATGGGTACTTGTACTTGGTTGCTAGGTACATGATAAATCTAATAAATACACGATTACGTATACGTTGTGGATTGCACAAAAAAAGGTAGATTTTAGGTACCTAATCGTCAACACAGTTTGGAACTTTTAGCTAGATGAATTGCAACTGGTCCTTATCTATAGATAATAAGTAAATAGATTTTTTAAACCACAAAATGTTACTTTTACAAAAAAGGCAAGTTTTTGTTCTAAGTACCTAAGTATCAATGCATTCTTGAATTTTTAGCTAGAGAAATTGTAACTGTCTGTGGATAATAAGTATCTAGGTATTTTAAAGAAGAATATGTTGCTTTTAAAAAAAGGCACGTTTTTGTTCTAAGTGCCAAAGCGATGCAGAGCTTTTAGCTAGAAAAATTCTAGCTGATCCTTGTCCAAGGATAATAAGTACCTAGATACTTTAAACCGAAAAATGTTACTTATTACATAGGTGTGTTCAGGATTCTAACACAGGTATAAAGGTACCTGCAGAAAATAATAAAGGTAACACGGTACTTTGTATTTACAATGCCTTCCAATTCGACCAATATCATTGTTAGAAAGGGCAGGTACCTAGTAATTCACAAACCTACACATAAAATGTATTTAGGTACAGAATATTTTTAGTTTTGAGGAAGACTGTTTAAATAAAAATCATTTTTTAATTCAATCCAGATTGCAATAGTAACTACTGAAAACTAAGCAAAAGGAATTGTAAATAAAAACAGCACTAACTACTTATTTATTAACGAACAAAAATTAGGATGTCCCTCATGGAATGTGATAGCAGGACCTCATAATTCCTAAGTGATTTATAAATTTCTTAAATAGTAATTAAGCAATAAGGCAAGCTTACCCATTGTAAATTCCAAAGTTCAATCAAGAAGAGAGGATACCAAAATGTGGATGTGGATAAAATAATAATTCCAAAAAATGTATATGTAAAAATCACTACGAAAAAATACTGTTAACTTGTAGGAGAAACGAAATTGGTAACAGGACACTATAAAATAATATAGGTTTACACGAAAACACTACATAGGTTTACGATAACCTTCAAAACATTTCCGAAACACAGGTGAAAAGTAAGAGAAATCGCTCGTAGGATACGAAATAACGAAACAAAAACAGATAATCCAGTTCGAATACACACTCCACCGACAAAAACACGAGAAATATAGACAGAATATAACTTATTTTGTTGTTTTTTAATCAAAAACAATCGACATCTGTCAACAAATCGTCACCAAATACCGTTCTATTACTCACACCTTCGCTGCTTCACCTCAACTAACAACACTAAAGGAAAAAGCTTAAACAACATGACTCTAGCGCTATCGTGCGGAGAATGCGGAAAGCTTCCTAGACTTCTGCGTGCTTTTAAAAGTTCAATGGACAGGCTCGGATTAAGGAAGTTTTTTAAAGAAGATCAATTACATAAATAATTCGCAAAATGCCCACAAAAACTTTTAACAGTAACAGAAGGAGCTTTCAAAAGGTTTGATGCACACTTTCAGATTAAAAAAAAACTTTTAAATATTTCTAGACGTGTTAGTGGTATTACAGCTTCGATTAATTTGCAAAAACCAACTAAAATTTAAATTATTTACTAACCATGGGAATTTTACTATTTTAAAAGACATTTTCTAACAGTAAGCAAAACTATAAAACATTAAATAACTCCATCCTTTAGCAAAATATGAGACGATGTACCAGGTGGAACTTTTGGTATTAGTCATTAAAACTATTCTTACTGTACAGAGACGTATTACGGGGCCAAAATTACATTTCAAGGGGAAAATAAAAGGAGTGATATGAAATCAATTCAATTTGATATTCTACAACATTTTACTTAATATTCAATAAAAGCAAACAATCTCAAGATATCATGGATTATGTGTTTAAATTGCCATTTTGCTTTGCTGACTTGTCATATTTGTTATGTCGCAACAGACATTAAAAAATGCTATACAGGAAAGGAAAAAATGCAATATTACCCAACCGTATAAAAGCAGAATAAAATTAAGGAAGTATAAAACAAAATAAAAATATTATTGTTTACCTCGACCTGGGAAGGTACATGGAACCATCGATGAAAACCGAGCCCGACAGTAAAATATACCAGCAAGTGGACAATTCTCCAGTACTGAAATAAGAAAAAATCTTTTGTAAAACTAATCGAAAGCATACGGCGACTTGTATGAAAAATGTTTAAAACTAATTAAAAATATCCAAATATAGACGTAGCGTCATCTAGTAGATCAACGCGCGTTTTTTAAAAAATGTTTACAAATGATATAGAACAATTCTAATGATATTGTATTGATAAAAAATATACTTACTAATACAGTACATCATTGGCTTGATGTTTTTCAAATCGAACAATTTTACAAAGCGCGCGCAATGCAGAGTCGCGAAGTGTTTGCAGCGCCTCCAATCCGCTAAGTCCGTAGTAAATCACCTGAAGATCTTGAAGAGAACGACAATGAGGAGGTCGCGCTAGAGCGCGCATAAACATCTGCTCCCAGTCGCTCATCGCAAGCCCGCGCGATGGCGCCACAGGCTAATCATCACTGCACCATGCCTACTACGATTAGTAGCACATGCGACGCCAAAAAAGTTATTTAAAAACTTTTAAACGACGCTTGAAAGAATTTTCTGCAAAAAGATTAAAAAATAACTGAGCTACTATCAAAAAAAGATACTTCAATATTTAAAATGTGCAGTAAAATTTGAAAAACAACTGAAAAACGTTGTTAAAAGATTAATCTTAAAATATTGTGATTAAGCATTTTATTCATGAATAAACTTTCTTCAGCTTTTGATTTGTTTTTTACATGCTGTGCTTGATATTATACACTGTAAAAAAACAGAAAAAAATGCAAATATAGTAAAAATAAAACCATTAGGAATTTGAAAGTGAAGTAGACGTGAAAACAGGGAAAATTTAGGAAACTTACATGTCATTTTCAATGGCTCAAACAGAATAAAAATGAAATTTAAAAATTGTTCACTTTTTGACACGATCCGCGCGAAAACTTTGTCACTTATTACAAGTCCGACAAAAATAATGCGAAGACGGCGAAACTGACTTGGAACATTTTTTTTAAGTCACGCCACTTAAACGCAATGTCTTTAGCGCACAATAATATCCACGCACACCGAATTTAAAAACAATGGAGAAACGGCTCGTTCAATTATGAGATAGTAAACAAAACATCATCACAATCACATCTTAAATCGCCTTCATGCTTTCTAGAATCGTTTGCTGCACTGGTTCGTGTCACCTGTTCGCTTCGATTGACGGGAAAGTTGAAAGGGCGGATAAGAGGAACATTGCGCCCGGGAAATTCGGCGTTAATCTGAAACAAATATAGGATCGGTTAGATAACGCAAACTTATTGCATTGTTTATAATATGATAACAACAACTAATTAAACAAAAGCAACGACCTTTGCAAGCTTTCTGCAGTGGCGTAGCCACGAGAGAGGGAGGTTTTTGGGGGTTTTTTAATTATGTTGAACTCTAGAACCATTGAGGAGTGTGAAATAAAATTGCAGGCTCAAGCTGTCCTAGTTTTAGGGAAATGCGAAGTTTAGCTCAGGAAAGGAAAGAGTGGAGGTACATGTCCAACCAGTCTTAGGACTGACGACCTTATGATGATGATGATGAAGCTGTCCTGAAAAATTTTGAGCTTGTCCAAGCTGCTAATAGCCTGAGCATTTTAAAGATATCAAAATTTTTTTTTTCAAAGAAAATCATAATAAAATTTTATATGAAGATATCAAAAATTTTGTTAATTAATTAATTATTTCTACGTAATACTTTATGGGTTTTTCCAGAATAGTATTGAGTTTCTCAGAAAAAAAAATATTTCCCCGAGAAAAGTCGTTTCTTAGTTTTCTTTATAATTACACAGAGTTGTAATTTTTGGTGTATGTTGGGTTGTCTATATTGTTAAAAATTGTAACTTAATTTATTGTAAATGAAACGTCAATTAGCACCCCTGCCTACGTCTAAATGGAAAAAATACACAATAAAGATGAAAACACATCAATCTACTTCAATGAAAGCGAAATTATAGCTCAATTACAGCCGTTGTTTTAAGTTATCCCGGCGCCTCCACCAAAATTTTCAATAAATTTTTAATAAGAAAATAAATGTTTTATTCTCAGTATTAAAGCGATAGTTTACAATTAAAATTAACTACAGATTCATAATTAGTAACTGAATACTTTTTCTATAGCTCCAAATAAAAATATGAAAGGATTTTAAACCAAATTTTACGAGATGTCTTTAAAAATATTACTAATAAATTCGTAATATTTCGTAGTTTGTGTTGAATTTTTCGTTAGAAAAGTTATTTTCATTTATAGTTAGTGCTAAACGTATTATACGGTTAGTAATTTCACATCATGCAAAGATACAACCCCAGTAACTTCTTCTCATGTAATATGCTCAATTATTTTCTCATTTTCCTGAAATTGGAAACCCACACGCGCAACTGAATATGTCCGGTTTTGTAATACGTAATTTATTGTCCTAATGATAGCGTCAAATTTAATTTGATACACTCTCAAACAAAAGATTGCCAACGTCAATTTCGCGCAGAAGAACTTACGTAAAGGAAAAGAAAGGAATAGAAAATATATTACCCAAATCCCAAAAAAATCGTCTTATGAAAAGGAAGTTTTCGGGAGTACAGCCCCTTCTCCCAAACCCCACTTAAAGGACAAATTGAAAACATCAATCTACTTCAACGAAATCAAAATTACAGTTCAATTATAGCTTTTGTTTTACTGTCCCGGCTTCTTTATCAAAATTTTCAATAATTTTTTTTACGTATAAGTACGTAATAATTTCTGATAACGTTCGGGTAGGACGATTACAAATTTTATAATCTTTTCGGCATGCAAGATTAACTACTGATTAATAAAAGAACTCAGTTTTCAGTTTTTGTACGAATTTTTTCATGTAAAAAGGATCAAAAATTAATATCACTTAGTGGGTGACACCTAGATATTATAAGTAAAATTAACCAATNATATATATAAATTTTAAATCCTACTCTAATTTTTTGTCAACATGTACTGATTACAGAGTTTGGCTGTTATATATTTTTTGTAGATTGCCAATATTTGTAATTTAAAGCAAATCAAAATCTTACTGACAACGTCAGCATTAATTTTTTGTAAATAGGCAAAATCAATTGTTTAACTGTTTTGAAACTTCGAATAATGTGCCGCACTGTCTGTAGACATTGAAACTTCCTTTCGGAAGTCACTTCCTTGTCACCTACCAACCTTCCATCTTCTAATGGTCAGGTAACGGATTTTGAATATCATTAACGCCTGCAGTACGTAATTCAATTACATATTTCCTTCAAGTCACTTCGTAAAGAATACACTAATGGAATTAATGCAAAATGATACCTAAGCAAATAATCTTTCGAGTTTTTTTCTTCTGTTTTCAAAAAGAAACAAATATTAAATGTAAAATGATACCTAAGCAAGTAATCCTTCGAGTCTTTTTCTTCTGTTTTTCAAAAAGAAACAAATACTAAATAACAGACTATTATTTGTGTATTTTAAATTAAGTTTTACTCAACTTCAAACGTTTCTCCCTTTTAATTTTGTGGTAGGTGATGTACAATTTCCCTAACCTTCTACTTGATTATGGGCACGATACCTATATAAGTAAGCTGGAAGGCTCCATAAACCATCAAAATTCAAATGTCGATGTACCTAAGGGGAATTATAACTAATGGTAAATAAAATTTGATTTCTATATTAGCAATGCGAATAATAAATTTGATTATTATAACTATAGTTAATAACTTGGCATATTGGCAAACTAATGCAGCATACGAATAGCTATTAACGCCTGTAGACATCTGCTAAAAATTGTGATTGACAAAGTCCTTTTACGAATAAGGATAATAAATTGAACTAACGTCATAGTAATGTACGTGATGGGTACGTACACCTAACAGAGTAAAAGTTCTTGGTCAGTAACAGCTTTAGATCGCGATTCCGTTCTGTCTACGGCGTGCTAATGAGATCCATAGGAAACGATGTAAGCCTGTTGATTTAGATAGAAAAATGAGCAATAATTTTTGTTCTGCTGGTAATTGTAGTTAAGAATCCATCACGTAATCGTAATTATAGAAAAGGACCTCGTCAGACATTAATGAATTCACAATTATTAACAGCAAATTTTAACAAATGGCATTTACCACGTTCTCTGGTCGGTTTTATGTGCAATTGTCTTCTGCGTGCTGATGAGTTTCAAAAAAATTGAAATTGCAGCACCGCAACAAAATCATACAATTAATGGTCTTAACTGAAATAGGACAGTGTTTATGTGCTTTTTATTATTCTACTTTCTGATTACAATTTTCCATCTTTACAACATGATATGTAACAAAATTTCTCAACTTCTGTAGCCACATTTGTTCTTATATACGGTACATACTAATATGGAACGATGAGACATGAAATTTTATCTTGCATGTAGGTAGGTAGGTAAGGTAAGGTAACGTTTCGATGACCTTTTTATACTTTTTTCGCTTATGTGATGCAAGGCCATTCTCTTTCTTCTCTTCTTCTTGCGCTGGAGCTCCATCGTCTTCATCATCATCGTTTTCGTCTTGTGCATTTCTCGCCGAAGAATTTGTTAAAAGGCTCGTGCTTCTCGCAAAACATTTACCTAGTATTTCCGATATACCGCTACTTCATCTTTTTCATGAACCATAATTAAGCGACTTTTTACCGAACGAGAATATAAGCAATCGCATTCACAAACGCAGAAATTGGTGTCATAGTACCGGTTAATATCGTAGAGTAACTATACGACTAAGCAACATTGTCAAGTCTTCTTCGCAAGTCGCAATGTTGTATATTAATGTTTATATTAACTAAAATCCACTACTAGTAGTACGACATTGTGCTCATCGGAATTATAGGAGAGTAAGCTTAAAGGATTAAAGTCTTCTTCCAGGATATATTTAAATCCTGCGTTTCTTAGAATTAAAAATTAGTATTAATGATTACAATACCTACTGATGAAAGGGATAATTAAAAAGCTTTTCAAATGTTAAATATCACCTTCATAGGGTCGTCAGTTCTAAATTATTCTCATCCTAAATCAATCTTTGTATTTCCTTAAAACTAGAACATCTCATATCCTTAGCTTTTTGTGAACAGTAACTTAATATAGGTACCTACATCTCTGTCCCCTTTTAACTCCTGCTTCTGCTTCTAAGTCTAAAACCTCCAAAAATCGAAAAAATGTTTTGTTACCTTCCCTTCAAGCCCCAAAATCTCCATTTCTCGAAATCTCAACCCTCTATTAGTCGAAATAATCAGTGTGAGTCCTTGCAGACCATTTTGGTACATATTTTCCCTCTATAACTCGAAAAATTAAATTGGACCTCTGTATCTCCAACATCATCATCATAAGGTCATCAGTCCTAAGACTGGTTGGACACGCACCTCCACTCTTTCCTAGCCTAAGCCAAACTTCGCATTTCCCTAAAACCAGAACAGCCCACATCCTTAACCATCTGCGAACAGTAATCTAATCTAGGTCTATCTCTTCCCCTCCTATCTCCTGTTTCTGCCTCTAATATGTCTCTGACTTTTTTTATTGTTTTCCATAGAGTTATCTGTTTTCCTATTCTTTCCAATACCTCTTCATTTCTAACCTTTTCTACCCACGATATCCTCATCATCCACCTATAACACTACATTTCGAACGCTTCTAACTTTTTCTTTTCCGCCGCTCCCACTGTCCATGTTTCACACCCGTACAACGCCGTGCTCCAAACATGCACCTTTAACAACCTTTTTCGAATTTCTAAATTAACGGTTCGCGAGCATAGAAGTGACTTTTTATTAAAGGCAACACGACCCTGCGCTATCCTCTGCTTTATATCCCTACTACTCCTTCCATCCTGACTTATCTGACTTCCTAGGTATCTAAAATCAGCCACTTCTTCTAATTTTTCATCTCCTATCTTTATATTCGCTCTTTCCCTACTTTTTCTTTCCTTGCATACCAGTATTTTAGTTTTACTTTTATTGCATAGCAATGTTTTATTTTACAATCTTTATAACTCGATAATTTGAAATTTATTACGTCTATAGTTCGAAGAAAACTAAGTTATCGACTTTAAGAATTTGCACACCAAATTTTAACCTCTACAAGTCGAATCAAAATCAAAGGCAAAATCCTCCATAAGTCGAAAACCTTATAACTCGAATTTTTTGGCATTTCCCTTAATGTTCGAGTTATAGAGGTTCTACTGTATATCTCTAACTAGCCTTTCATATCTGGGAAAATGTCCTATCCATAGGGCCTT